CAATAATAATAATCGTAATAATATCAATAATAACAATAATAATAATAATCATAATAATGATGATAATAATAATAATACTAGAATAAATAATAATGATGAGAATAATCAAAAAATAATATGGAAAATAGGTATGCAAAATACCAGGGGTTTGAGAGACATAGTAAAACAAAATACGTGGTGGAACTATTATATTGAAGAAAACTTCGACGTAGTCTTATTAACAGAAACAAAAACAACCAAAGAGACTGAAAAATTTATATTTTTCAAACAAAACCAAATATCCAACCCACAAGATCCACTATATAATATTTGGTGATCATTAACAACAGAAGTTTATAATAACAACATTGGATCTGGAGTCGGCCTTATAATAAAATCGAATATAGCTAAACACGTATATAAAATTGATAAATTTGAAGGACATGGCATATGTATTCTTTTATCATTTAAAAGAAAGGTAGTTTTTCAAATTATCGGAATTTATGCACCAAACAAATATTCGTCGAATAATATCATATTAAGAAAACTAAAACCTTGGTTCTATAATCATATCTCACAGGCCTTATCAAACAACTGGATCTCAATAATCATGGGAGACTGGAATGCCACTCCTGACCCAAGTAAAGATAGATTCCCCGTAAAAACTAAAACATCACTGGAAAGTAACTTACTTCAATTAATTATTTGGAGTGGATATACGGACACATATAGACATCATAATGGGGATAAACAGGAATATACCTTTTATCAAATTTTTAAGGAAGAAATTAGAAGTAAAAGTCATATTGACTCAATTTGGATACATCAATCACATGAGGAACTTATCATAGATGCGGATATAGACGATATGACTTTGATAGCAAACAGCGATCATCATTGTGCACACGTGACATTAGACATAAGTAAATATTGTGATGGTACTAGTTATAAGAAATATAAAAGGGTAAACTACAGAACTACTCGACTTTGGAATTTGAAAATGGCGGATAAAGAAAACTGGGAGAAATTTACACAGGAAACAGAAGATGCTTGGGAAAAACAATTGCAGTTGGGAACAAACTTAGAATTAGTTGAAGATATATGACAAAAAATCAAATCCACGATAATAAATGTAGGAAACAAAAATTTACCAAAAGCTAAGGAACCAAGAAATCGCATAGCTATCATGTGGCAAAAACATTCGAAATATCCTATATTAAATATATTAAACAAATTATATCGATTAGGCAGTAAAATAGAAAGTACAAATAATATGAATGCGCAAAAATTAGAAATCATAGAGTCAATGAAAAATAAATTAACAAACAAATACGAATTAAATATTCAATCTTTTCTCTCAGCAGGATTACCAAAAGAAAAATTAGAATGGGTCAATAATATAAAGAAATTATAGATAACCATAAGAAAACTAATTAAATGAGAATTAATAAGAAAAAAGAAAAAAGAAATCAAACATAAGATCAAATTACGTCAAGAATTTTTAAACACTAAACCAAAACACATGATTGACAAAGTCTTAGATAGAGACTCCCGACAGATCATATTAGACCGAATATAAATACGCAAGAGGATGGAACAACACAAATAATCACAGATCCAATACAAATTAAAGATAAAGTAAAAGAACATTTGTATCA